GCAGGGAGCCCGATGCGGGACTCGATCCCGGGACTCCAGGATCATGACCTGAGCCGAAGGCAGTCGCTTAACCGACTGAGCCACCCAGGCGCCCCTCTCATTCCTTGTCTTTTGGAACAACTGATACATGGTAAGGACCATTTGTTCCTTGAAAGTTTGCAGAATGTCCCTGTAAAAGCATCTTAGGACTCTTTTGTGTTGGTGTCTCAGATGATAATTTTCTTTACTGGTTACTGATCTATTGAAATTTTTGATATTTTTGTGCCAACTTTGACATTTCATATTTCTCTGGAAAGGCATTCACTTTGATTTAAGTCTTTATATTTACTAACATCCAATTATTTATAACATTGTTTGATTTTTTTATTTTTTTAAGTTTTTATTTAGTTAGTCATTTAAGTAATCTCTAGACCCGATGTGGGGCTCAAACTCACAACCCTGAGATCAAGAGTCACATGCTCTTCCAATTGAGCCACCCAGGTGCCCCTGATATTTGATATTTTAAACTTTTGTGGGGCTCAGGGGTCAGATCACATGGGGCCTGGTGGCCATGGGAAGGACTCTAGATTTGTCTTAAACATGATGGAAAGTGACAGGATATTGGAAAAACCCATTTTGCCACTTTTGGGGGGGTTGGGCAGAGAGAGAAGGAGAGAAAGAATCTTAAGCAGGCTCTACGTCCAGCACAGAGCCCAACAGAGGGCTCAGTCTCATAATCCTGAGATCACGACCTGAGCCGAAATCAAGAGTTGGACGCTTAACTCACTGAGCCACCCAGGTGCCCCTTCATTTGGCCACTCCTGAAACCCCAGGTCCACCTCAAGAGTATAAAGAGATGGAGTGGATCCTGAAAGGGAAACCTTGCGAGGAGATAGATTTGGAAAAGGAGCCTCAAGACTGCCCTCAGGGAGTGGGACCAGGGACTGCCTTCTAATCTCCGAGGCTGAGGAGAAAGGCTTTAAGGAAGCTGCCTGGAGAGCTCAGGAGGGGCTCCCTGAAGCCTGGCAGCCCAGTGGGTCAGGGACACATGAGACTTCCAGAGAGGCTGTGGAACCACAGTGGGAACTGGCTTGCAGCCAGGTAGTAGGAGTCCTGTCCAGAGGGCTTCTCTCATCTGGCAGGGGACACCCGACGGAGGTGGGTGTGTGCCAGCCGAAAGAATACTGGAACCAGCCAAAAGAGAGTCCCTGCCCACTTTCCAGGAGTTACAGTCGAGGAGGTGGCCCAGAAAGGAGCTGTAAGAGCCCACGTTCAAAAGCTGCCACCCAGCGACTGGCTATCTTATCCAGAGCCAACCAGGGAAGAACTCTCTGCACCCTTGTCCCTCCTTCTTCCTCCCTGCGCTCCAACAGCAGAGAGTTCTCAAGCTGGGAGAGCAGGAGGGGAGGGAGAGGGGCCAACCTGACTTCTCCCTGTCCTCATCATCGGGGGAGATGGGGCCCGCAATGGCTGGAGAGGCGGAAACTATGTCATCGAGGTTTGAGACTTGGCCACCCCACAAAGCTGGGCAGTCTAACGGAACTTACTGGATGACTTCAGATGATCATAGGACTGTAAGCAAACATGGTACAGAAGGTCAAGACTTCATTTGTGGGCAGAGAGAGAAGTTCCCTTACGAGCTTTAGAGGGACAATGGGAGACAAAAATAATCTTTAATGATATCCCATGAACCTTTTTTTTGGTAAAAGTAGCCATCAAGTAGAGGATTTTGAGAGGGGGAGTGATGTGAGCTGATTTATGTTTTTAAAAGGTCCCTCTGACTGCTGGAGAAATTAGACAGGAGGGTCACGGGGAACGAGGGACTCTCATCCGGGAAAGGCACTGGAAGGCTGGGGCTGGGAGAGGCAGGGGGAGGAGAGGAGAGGTCTGGAGACGAGACCTGGGCCTGTTGCCATTTAGAGGTCAGGAGAGGTCAAGAGGACATGGCCATGGAGCCCAGGCGAGAGCAGCCAGTGGGGAAGAAGTGGAGAGAGTGAGGGCTCCCAGCCAAGTGAAGAGAGTGTTTCAAAGAGGAAGGAGTGACTAACTGCAACGAGAGCCACTGGAAGTTCGAGGCAAAGCTAACAGAATTAACGACTAAACTTGGCAACCTTACTCGCTCCGCAGGCCCCTGCTCCAAGCACCAGACACAGGAGACTTGTTGCAGACTTTGGCTGTTGGAGTGTGGTTGGGGTTGGCCTCAGTATCCAGTACCCCTGGTCCCTCCTCACGGAGCCCCATCTGAAACTTTTCCTTTAGTCTAGGACAAAGTTTCTTTCCCCTGAAGAACTTACAGGAGCTCTCTTCTTCTTGGGGAGGGAGCTAAATTACTACGTCTCCCATTTGGCTGCTGGGAGGCTCAGAGATGGACAGGATATTCAGTTAATAGAGCCGAGAGCGGGCGCCTGGGTGGCTCAGTCGTTAAGCGTCTGCCTTCGGCTCAGGTCATGATCCCAGGGTCCTGGGATCGAGCCCCGCATCGGGCTCCCTGCTCAGCGGGAAGCCTGCTTCTCCCTCTCCCACTCCCCCCTGCTTGTGTTCCTGCTCTCGCTGTCTCTTTGTCAAATAAATAAATAAAATCTTAAAAAAAAAAATAGAGCCGAGAGCACTATAGGGGCTTCATATTTATTTATTTATGTTCTTGATCTTGATCTTCATGCTCTCTTTTCAATTCTCTTTTCACGTTTTTGGTTTTCCACTTCTATTTTTCTTTTATCTGCCTGCTTCTTGTTGGAAACTACCCCATGTGCCTTGAGCATGAGGCAGGTATGCGAATTAATTCTGCTTATTCAGCAAATGTATTAAGATGCCTTTTACTTGTCAGGTCCCTCTGATTTGCAATTGACAGAACTATATTAAGCCAAAGAAAGATAAAATAAATGACTGGCTTATTTTACTAACTCATAAAAAGGGCAAGGGTATACCTGAGCCGCTCAATTTTACGTGGATGGCAGGACTCAGGTCCCCTCGCCTCCGTGTGTGTGTGTGTGTGTGTGTGTGTGTGTGTGTGTGTGTGTTACTCTCCTCATTTCATCTCCATTTCCCTTTCTCTGTCAGCTTCATTCTCTCTGATGGGAATGTTGGCTGCAGGGAGCTCCAGGTTGCTATCTTTGGACCTTTGCCTCCAGTGTGAAAAGAAGTCTCTTCCTGGGTAGAAAAATCCCAGGGAAGGGCTCTGATATGTCCTGCCTCGAGTCTCATGGCCAACCTTGCACCAATCAGAGGAACCCAGTGGGAAAGGGACATTGACCAGGCTTTCTGGCACTACCACCTGGTTGGAGTGTGGGGAGCAGTCCTCTAAAGGTGGGGATGTGATTTGAGGTGGCCTGAGGGAAGATGGGCAGGGCAGACCAAACACCCACCACATGCCTACCATGTGCGGGGCAACTAGGAGGGATGCAGATGTGAATAAAACAAGCCTTCTGCCCTTGAGATGGGCACAGTCCAACAAGGGAGGTAAAACATGCACTGACAATTATAATAAAATCGGAACATGGGACGAACCTTGGAAGAGCAACAGGCAAAGGACTTGGGGTATTCCAAGGAGGGCAAGGGACTTCTGATTCTGGCCATGAGGATTTGCTCCGTGGACCAAAATGATCCTTTTGCCACAGACAACTAAGAAACTGGACAAACATAAGAAACAACTACTTTCAGATATTAGAAAACTGGTAGCACAGGACTGTAATCCATGGGACAAGGGAAGCAGATGAGGTGAGCCCTACCATCACCCGGGTCATCTACATCTGCCATCTGCCTAGAGGTAAATCCCCTGCTGCGTGCAGGGAGAGGAACCCAAACAGGGTCCATCAGTCTCACTGATTAAAGAGTCAGAGACCAGAGTTTGGACAGGCAAAAGGCAGCTAGGATTTCTGAGGTAGAACATTTAAGAGGAGGAACCTATGTAGAAAAAGAGCCCTAAACCCTGTAGAAGGAGCCCCTTAAGCTTTTGGAAGAATACTAATCTGCACATGGCATAAGGTGAAACCCCACAAAACTGGACAAGAACACATTTCAAGAGAAGAACAATTACTGCAGAGCTGAAGACAAATAATTCCCAGAGCTCACATAGAACTAGAAATCTTTCTAAGAAGATTCTCTCCAGTCAGAGTAGAGAAATCTCACTGAATACACAGAAAATTCAGTAGAGAACCAGACGGGCCACGCCATAGAGGTGGGCCTAAATCAACCCTTAAAGAAAGCTACTCAAGACCCACCATAAAAGAGCTTGAAATACATCTTGAAATGATCAAATCTAACCCGCAAGTAACTAAATTACCAGGAAAAGTCCAATACTCTTTAAAAGAACTCAGTAAAATCCAGATTAATAATGTAAAGTTCACAATGTTTGGCATCCAATAAAAAATTAATATACATACAAAGAAGGGGGGGAAATGTGATTAATAACCAGGAGAAAATCTGCCCACAAAAATGAACTCAGAAGATGGCAATACTATCCAAATTGATTCGACTTAGTCCCTATCAAAATCTCAGCTGCCGGGCACCTGGGTGGCTCAGTCGTTGAGCGTCTCTGCCTTTGGCTCAGGTCATGATCCCAGGGTCCTGAGATCGAGCCCCGCATCGGGCTCCCTGCTCCACGGGAAGCCTGCTTCTCCCTCCCTCACTCCCCCGCTTGTGTTCCCTCTCTCGCGGTGTCTCTCTGTCAAATAAAATCTTAAAAAAAAAAAATCTCAGCTGCCTTTTGCAGATATTGACAAGCTGACCCTAAAGTTTTTGTGGGAAGTCAAGGGGCCCAGAAGAGCCAAACAATCTTGAAAAAGAAGAACAAAGTTGTAGGACTCACATTCTCCAATTTCAAAACTACTATAATCAAGACAGCGTGGTACTAGCATTAGGACAGACATAGAGATCAATGGCATAGAGCTGAGAATTCAGAAATAAGAGCTCTTACATTGACCGTCAGTTGATTTTAGACAAGGCCATTCAATGGGAAAAGAATAGTCTTTTCAAGAGATGATACTGGGACTGCTGGGTTTTCACATGCAAAAGAGTGAAGTTGGACCCCTACCTTACACCATATATGGAAATTAACTCAAAATTAATCATAGACTTAAATGTAAGAGCTAAAACTATAAAACTCTTGGGGAAAAAAACACATGAATGACCTTGGATTAGGCAATGGTTTATAACTTAACAGAATTAAAAGCACAAATAACGAAAAGAAAAAAATTAGATTTCATCAAAATTAAAAACTTCTGTGCTTCAAAGGACACCATCAAGGAAGTGAAAAGGCAACCCACAAGATGGGAGACAATATTGGCAAATCATGTATTTGATAGAGGACTTGTGTCCAAAATGTATAAAGAACTCTTAAAATTCAACAATAAAAAAGGCAAATAACCCAATATAAAAATGGGCAAAGCAAGCACACAAAGAAAGAAAAAACAGAAACAGGGGCGCCTGGGTGGCTCAGTCGTTGGGCGTCTGCCTTCGGCTCAGGTCGTGATCCCAGGGTCCTGGGATCGAGTCCCGCGTCGGGCTCCCTGCTCTGCAGGAGGCCTGCTTCTCCCTCTCCCACTCCCCCTGCTTGTGTTCCTGCTCTTGCTATGTCTCTCTCTGTCAAAAAAATAAATAAAATCTTTAAAAAAAAAAAAAGAAAAAACAGAAACAGACTCATGAATACAGAGAACAAACTGGTGGTTGCCAGAGGGGAAGGAGATGTAGGGATGAACAAAAAATAGGCAAAGGGGATTAAGAGGTACAAAGTTCCAGTTATAAAATAATTAAGTCACAAGGATGAAAAGTATAGCACAGGGAGTATCATCAATAATACTGTAATAACGTTGTATGATAACAGATGGTAACTACACTTATCATGGTGAGCATTGCATAATATATAAAATTGTCAATTCACTGTGTAAACCACTGTGTAAACTAATGTAAACCTGAAACTAATATAACATTGTATGTCAACTATACTTCAAGAAAAAAAGCACGTTAAAAAAGGATTTGAACTGGGGCGCCTGGGTGGCTCAGTCGTTAAGCGTCTGCCTTCGGCTCAGGTCGTGATCCCAGGGTCCTGGGATCGAGCCCCGCGTCGGGCTCCCTGCTCCGCGGGAAGCCTGCTTCTCCCTCTCCCTCTCCCACTCCCCCTGTTTGTGTTCCTTCTCTCACTGTCTCTCTGTCAATAAAAATTTTTAAAAAAAGGATTTGAATTGACACTTTTCCAAGAATATATCCAAATAGCCAATAAGCACATGAAAAGATGCTCAGCATCATTCACTACAAGAGAAAAGTAAAAAACAAAAAGTAACAGGTGTCAGTGGGGATTTGGAGAAATTGGCACCTTGTGCTTTGCTGGTGGGAAGGTTAAGAGGGTGCAGCTGCCATGGGAGACAGTATGGTGGTTCCTCGGAAACTCACAGAATTGCCATATGACCCAGATATACCCCGTCTGCACGTATATCCAAAAGAATTGAAAGCAGGGACTGGAATAGATATTTGTACACCCATGTTCATGACAGCATTATTCACAGTAACAAAAGCTGGAAACAACCCAAATGCCCCTCAATGCATGAATGGATAAACAAAATGTGGTGTATACATTAATGGAATATTATTCATCCTTTAAAAAAAGAAATTCTGACACACGCCACAGTATGGGTGAATCTTAAAGATATTTTGCTAAGCGAAAGAAGCCAGACATATAAGGATAAATATCGTGTGATCCCACTTACATAAGATACCTAGAATAGTCGAAGTCAGAGACAGCGAATAGAACACTGGTTACCAGGGCCTGGGGGTAAGGGAGAAATGGGGAGCTGGTGTTTAATGGGGACAGAGTTTCAATTTGGAAATATGAAATGATTCTGGGTCGCCTGGGTGGCTCAGTTGTTGGGTGTCTGCCTTCGGCTCAGGTCATGATCCCAGGGTCCTGGGATCTAGTCCCGCGTCAGGCTCCCTGCTCAGCAAGGAGCCTGCTTCTCCCTCCCGCTCTCCCTCTGCTTGCTGGTCCCCCTGCTCATGTTCTCTCTCTCTGTCAAATAAATAAATACGATCTTTAAAAAAAAGAAAGAAAGAAATGATTCTGGAAATGGATGGTGGTGATGGTCGCACAACACCGTGAAAGTACTTAATGCCACTGAACTGTACCCTTAAAAATGGTTAAAATGTAAATTATACGTGTATTTTGGTACAATAAAAAAAAAGAAAGCACATAAATGGTGTATACACGCCAATTAAAAAGAAGAGGTTGTCAGATTGCATTAAAAATGCAAGACTCAAATTTTTTATTTATTTTTATTTATTTATTAGAGAGAGAGAGAAACAGCATGAGAGGGGAGGGGGTCAGAGGGAGAAGCAGGCTCCCCGCCGAGCTGGGAGCCTGATGCGGGGCTCGATCCCAGGACCCTGGGATCATGACCTGAGCTGAAGGCAGTCGCTTAACCAACTGAGCCACCCAAGAGTCCCTGCAAGATTCAATTGTATTCTGCCTGCAAGAAACCCACTCTAAATGAAAAGACGCAGATAGGTTCAAATGGAAAAGGATGGGAAAAGGTATGTCATACAAACACTAACCCAAGACCTAAAGGAAGGAGAGGCCACTTTCAGCCAGGCCCCCAGGAGGGCCTCCCGGAGGAGGTGACACTTGAGTTGAGCTTTAAAGGCTTTGTAGTATTAGGGACTGTGAAGGCTAAGAAAGCCCACGTGGTGAAGGCATTGAGTGTGCATGTGTGTGTGTGCATGAGTGTGTGTGTGTGTGTGTGATGAGTGGCATACAAAGAGTTAATTACCACACTGGTGGAGGGAGGTGAGCTGGGTTTGACAGTTTAGGTGCGGTGGAGAGTTCATATGTGGCTCCAGACAGAGGGGGCGGGCGGCGCAGAGAACCCAGGAGGCAGAAACAGAACTTGAAGCACTTAGGAGAAGGGGAAAGTGAAACCTGCCCGGGTACCAGGCCACGGGCCACAGCGGAGACTCTGTGGCTGGAGACCCGCAGCATGCCCCTCATTGGAGCAAGGAAGGGGGAGAGACTCAGTGGCCAGGGCTGTGCCTCTGAGCACCTGGAACAGTGAGCCCACACATGCCCTATCTGTCTCCCGTCCCCTCTCCCTGCTTTCTTCCCCTTCCTGGGACCTACCACCGAGCCCTTAGGTGTTTGCAATTTTGTTTTTGGTTTGCCAGTTACACCATCCCTAACCAGAATGGAAGCCCCCCTGAGAGCAGGTTGTCTTTTTTTTTTTTTTTTTTGGTATAGAGAAGGAGGTCAGTTTAATAACATAAAACAGAACAAAACAGAAAAAACAGTCACCCAGAAGCCCCTCTTACTGGTCAAGGTACTCATTCCACCCCCAGCTTCTTGCCCCATCATCTGGCGCTTTTACACAGACACAGTCTTACGCTTTTCCAACGAGTGTTATTAGTTACACCATGATTCAAGATCCCAGGGTGGGGGTCACCATGTACTCAGGTCCCCAGTCACCACCTTGGGAGAAGGATGGAGGACAGAGGAGGGGTGGGTGGAGCCAGTTGAGATCTTCCCAGGACACGTGCCTTCTGCCCGGCGGTTGTCCCAGGCTGACACCCAGGATTCGGGGCAGAGGGACTTGTACACACACCGGGAGCCGTCACCCCCTTTCACAGCTCCACTGCGGTGGGAATCCAGGCAGTCCCTAGTTGGGGAAGGGGCTGTCCGAAGGGGCAAGACAAGTAGTTCTTGACTTTGGTCTTGATGTCTTCTGGTGCTGAGTCCCAAAGACACCCCTGAAGCAGCTCGCAGCTCAGTGTGACCCTCAGCAAAGACACCAGTCAGACCAGAAGCCGCAGGTTGTCAAAGCTTTTGTGTGTTTGGGGCGCCTGGTGGCTCAGTCAGGTGAGCGTCTGCCTTAGGCTCAGGTTTGATCCCGGGGTCCTGGCTCCTTGGTCAGCGGGGAGCCTGCTTCTCCCTCTCCCTCCACCCCCCCCACCCCCGCTCGTGCTCTGTCTCTCTCTCTCTAAGAAGTAAATAAAATAAAATCAGGGGCGCCTGGGTGGCTCAGTCGTTAATCATCTGCCTTTGGCTCAGGTCATGATCCCAGGGTCCTGGGATTGAGCCCCACATTGGGCTCCCTGCTCAGCGGGAAGCCTGCTTCTCCCTCTCCCACCTACTCTGTTTGTGTTCCCTCTGTCGCTGTGTCTCTCTCTGTCAAATAAATAAATAAAATATTTTAAAAAATAAAATAAAATAAATAATAAAATGGTTTTAAAAAAATCTTTTTTGTGTTCCTCCCCAGCGCCCAGAACAGGGCTTGGCACAGAATAGGGGCTCAGAAATATTTGTTGAGTGAATGAATGATAGAAACATACATGATCCCATAAACACTGCAGGGCCACTGTTTTCCTGTCCTTATGAGACACTGTCTAGGAAGATAAGTGGGTTTAGCCCATTTGGGAAGATAATAATTGGCAATATCTTCTGTTTTTATTTAAACTTGGGAGCATAGGGCGCCTGGGTGGCTCAGTTGGTTGAGCGGCTGCCTTCGGCTCGGGTCATGATCCTGGAGTCCCAGGATAGAGTCCCGCATCGGGCTCCCTGCTCAGCGGGGAGTCTGCTTCTCCCTCTGACCTTCCCCCCTCTCCTGCTCTCTCATTCTCCCTCTCTCAAATAAATAATAAATCTTTAAAAAAAATAAACTTGGGGGGCGCCTGGGTGGCTCAGTTGGTTAAGCGACTGCCTTCGGCTCAGGTCATGATCCTGGAGTCCCTGGATCGAGTCCCGCATCGGGCTCCCTGCTCAGCAGGGAGTCTGCTTTGCCCTCTGACCCTATCCCCTCTCATGTGTTCTCTCTCATTCTCTCTCTCAAATAAATAAATAAAATCTTTAAAAAATAAATAAATAAAAAAAATAAACTTGGGAGCATAGACGGGAGCAGCCCATGCTCCTTGGTTTGGGGCACTCCGCGCATCACCAGCGTCCCAAAAAAGCCTCCCTTTGAAATGAGCTTTCCCTTCAGCCCATCCCCAATCCTATTCCAGCATCCCATAGCCCCCCCTCCCCACTCTTGTGTTTGACGCATGCCCTTCCAATCTGCTTTCTAGGCTTTGAGCCCCATATGCATCAGTGACGGGAGGCACCATTTACTTCACACTCACTCTGTGCTGGGCACTTTGCTAAGCACTTAATGCAGCAAATCTCACTTCATCATCACGTGTCCCTGAAGGAGTTGCTACTGTTGTCCCCACTTTATAGGTGAGAAAACTGAAGCAGAGAGACCTTCTGTCAGTTGCCGCAGGTCACAGAGTAATTGGCAGAAATATACAAGATTGTCCTGCTCCTCTGTGTTTTTAGTTTCCATAAACATGGCTCTGCTGAGGATCTTGTTCTGTATTTTTCTGTTTTTCATGCAACACTGTGTTTGAGCCTTGTCCACACTGCTGACACTTAGCCTCTGGTTCTTCAGCACCTCAAACCATCCCAAGGACACATCTATTTGCGAGAGCTTTTACCCAGGAGTGGACCTGCCAGTGGGCACGTAGGTGTCAAACTGCCCTTTCAAACATCCTGACTCCCACCAAAAGCATCAGACTTCCATTTACCAGCTCCCTACCAGCTACCCTGTTTATGTGGCTTCCTATTCTCACCAGTCTGGCAGGTGCCATGTGGGATCTTGGGTTTTCCTTTGCAGCTCTCCGATTACCGGGGTGGGTGCAGAGATCTTAGTCCTCGTTC